TTATGAAAAAATTTCGTTACAGCTCAAATAGCCCCAGTTATGTCTCCACTAACAAAACAGGTCTCATCTGAAAAAGTTTATTTAGCTTGAATAATAAATGATAATACAAATTAGACTTTCTGAAGATATCATGGAACACGAGGAACAGTTCCATTAAGACAAGCTTTATGGAAGGAAAGAATATGGAACGGAAGGGAACCGGAACCGGAATAGTTTGCATTATCCTATTCATTTACATCATATAATATTTTATGTAAACGGAAGGGAAACGGAAGGTAGCTGATACGAAAGGTATAGTGGAGAGTCAACCTTTATTTGGAAATCCCCCCCCTCCTGTTCTTAATTCTGCGCCGTAAATTATAATATATTACTATGAGAATAAAGATGTAATATGATATACCGGGTGCGTCTCAAAAGTGACTCACCCCTATAACTTTTTGATTTTTTCAGATAAAAACTCGAGATTTGGTATGTTAGTATTTGACATAAATTAGGATTCATTGCCGTATTTAATTGTTATCGGTCACTTCCTGTTTCACCGGAAATGGCTACAACTTTTGATTTTCAAATGGCACACTCAGTATTTTCTTACTTTATTCGATAGAAAATGACATTCTGAATAGAATGACATATCATATGCCAACTTTTGACATTCTCGCTTAATAAAAAATTGTATTTTAAAATTAAATCTAGAGCGCCATGACTATGTTAAAAACACTAATTCTTCATCAAGGGAAAATAAATTGATCGTCTAATATTTTTAGTGTCTTGTCCTGGCCAGTTAGAAAATGCTCAAATCGTATTTTTAATCATATCTCAATTTTTCCAAATGGAACGAGGGTGGCTCATTAGCATATTTCGAAAAAGCATTTTTTACGAATAATTTGATATCACACACTTGGTATGTCGAGTCAAATTTTTGTTACGAACCGCAAGTTATAATTTCAAATAAGCCATATGCGAAAATGTCAAAAGTTGACATATGATATGTCATTCTATTCAGAGTGACATTTTCTATCGAATAAAGTTAAAAATACCGGGGGTGTCATAAATTAGGATTCATTGCCGTATTTAATTGTTATCGGTCACTTCCTGTTTCACCGGAAATGAATACAACTTTTGATTTTTAAATAGCACCCTCGGTATTCTCTTCCTTTATTCGATAGAAAATGACACTCTGAATTGCATGACATATCATAAATATATCAACTTTTGACATTTTCAAATATTATTTATTTGAAATTGCAAAATGGCGATTCATAACGACAATTTGACTCCAAATACCAAGTATATGGTACCAAATTATTCGTAAAAATGCTTTTTGCAAATATACTAATCGAGCCACCCTCGTCCCACTTGAGAAATTGAGATTGATGATTAAAAATACAATTTGGGCATTTTTTAACAGGCCAGAACCAGACAATAAAAACATTAGACGATCAAATCTATTTTCCGACGGCTCCTTGATTAAAAATTAGTGTTTTTAACATAGCCTAAAAACTAAACTAAAAATACAATTCTGTTTTAAGCGAAAATGTTAAAAGTTGACATATTATATGTCAGTCTATTCAGAGTGTCATTTTCATGTCATTTTCTTTTGAAGTAAAGAAGTAAAAAATACCGAGGGTACCAATTAAAAATCAAAAGTTGTAGTAATTTCCGGTGAAAGTGGCCGAAAACAATTGAATACATCAATCAATCCTACTTTATGTCAAATACTAAAACACCAAATCTCGATTTTTTATCTAAAAAAATAAAAAAGTTATTGGGGGTGGGTCACTTTTGAGACGCACCCAATACAGATAAATAGTATTATCAACACCGTATATTACTATAGTCTGCCCAACGACAAGATCCTTAACAGTGATAGATGTGTCTGTCATTTTATTTTCAAAATACCTAGTTTATTTTATTTTACAAAGAAATAAGTTGGTACAATTGGAACGCATAGCAGAAAATTAATATATTTAAAATTTGAGTGACAAGTGATTACTTCAAAATATAGTGAAAAAAAACTGTATAAAACTGAAAAAAATCTAATAGAGTTATTTTATTAAAAACAATTACAGCATGTGTTAATACAAAATAAGCAAGGGTGTATTTTAAAAAAACGCCATATACCAAAAAAAAATATAAAAAAGATTTCCTGCTTTTAAGCTGTGCTTCAAGCTTAAGCAACTTCCTGCATTTATTGTTACATTTATTAATATAACTTACGAAAATATAAAAAAATAATATTGTAAAGGAATAAATAAAACACAACATAAATAAAACAAAATATTTTTTTTAATAATAACACTTACTGAATTTTATACATTAAAAGTTGATTAATTAACTTTAATTTTAGTTTTTGTAAACCAGTACCTTTTCACATTATCTCTGCAGTACCTACTAAAATGTATTATTTACCTATCGTGTGCTGCTATTTTACAGATACTTCAGTTTTTGGAACCATATACGAGATGGTATACAAACTTTATTTGTGGCTTAATACAACTCTCTGGCCATAATCTCTGGCGGTCTCTGGGCATCGAATATTAACTGTAAACTATGATCTGGGTCAACACTTAAGTTTCCCTCGAGTTTTCCCCACTTAATTTTAAAAAAACACAAAACAAGCGTAATAACACAGTCCAAAATGCAAAATGCAAAATATTTATCATTTCTATTTGACATAATTTGCATAAATAAATTTGACACAAAATTATAACCAAAGAATATACCTAGCTAGAAAAAGAATGGACTCTGCCATACTGAAAAATGGTCCTACAGAAGTGGCGCCATCTATTGAGTAGGGCTTGTTTTAAATGGATCGAAGCGCGGGCTTTTTAAATGAGCGTATTTACTAATAATTTTACTCTAAAATAATTAAATTTGATTATTAATTCTTATTTTTTACACAAATTCAACAATACTAATAACAAGTATCGTTGTGATGTGTAAAAAATAAAATTTAACAGTATAATATATACAATTATTAAATAAAATTAAAGCCAAACATGTGAAATATTATTTATTATTTAAAGTTCTTATTTATAAGTCAAATATTTAAACATCGTTTATTATAATAAAACAAGACCGACGTAATACGCCCAAAGTTTTGTAAATGGAGTAAGTATAAATAGGTACTTAAATGATGGCAAAAATAAAAGACTTACATTATATTTTTAGGGCCAGAAACAAAAGGAATTGTCTAATTAAAACACATATAACAAATTCATAGAACAAATTGTAGTTTGAAAAACGTTTTGATAATCATTTATTTGATAATATTATGATTGGTTTGGACTATGACAACGACAACATTTTTTGAGAATTTGACAATAATATGACAATGACCGTTGGAAACTACAAAAAAATTCTGATTTACCGCCATCTGGCAATAACTAGTAGCAACTTCTTAACCTAAAAATTAATTGCACTACCACCTAGTGGCTAGGGCTGGAACTATTTTATTTGAGATTTCCGTGGAAACGGTGGAACCGCTTTTGCTATTTCACTTTCCCGCCCCTGATTATAACCTATAATTTGACAAGAGTTAGACAACTCTCATAACTTTCCGTCAAACCGATAATATTGAAATATGATCTGTAATTTTTGAATTAAACCAATAAAACTGGTTAAAAACAACAAGAGATGACGCATGACGGATTTATATACAGGGTGTCCCAGAAATAAGTGCAAATATTTTAACTAGTAGTATAGTTCAACCCCAGAAACACGCCTATGAGGTTTTCTTGGCGAAAAAAAAATTTCGAAAATTCGAAATTTTTTGAAAAATTTTTTGGATTTTTTTTTAGTTTTTAGTTAAAAAACATAATTTCTTGATAATATGGCAACTTAGGTATTTGTATAAATACACCCTGTATAAACCCATCCATAGTTAACTTAAAAATATTAGAAACTTTTTTTAGATAAATAAATGGATTGGTATGGACGTCATCTGCTTTTTTTCTGTCATCGTCTGTCGAAATCTTCCTGAGAAGAAAAAACAGAGTATTAACAACAAACAGTCATTATATATTTCTTATTTAAATACGATTTTTGAGACTTGTTAACAAACACTATAAACTCCATTTAACCTGTTTCGCCAAAATATCTTGTAGAATGTGTCCCGCGGAGCGGATAACCGTCTTTGTTGGTCTGGTTTTCAGTTTGTATTAGTACACGTTAGTTCGAGAAGGTTTCTAGGTGCTTAGAATTCATGGCCGGCGACCGCCGTTATGCAGTATTAAAGCTAGGACGCGAAACAGCCCCTTTGAATAATAGAAGTGGGGCGGGACGAGCAAGCGGAAACCTAGAAGCTCGGCAAAACCCCGAAAGCGCTATTTTAGTTGGGGAGTAAACGGGAAAGATTCCTATCTTGCTCGGTCGTAGGTGAGGAATTTATAATTCGTTCGCTTTCAACTTTTTGCTAAATAATATAACATCACAGATAACACATAATCCAGATGGCTCCTTACGTGTTAAAAATTGTCACCCTAATTTCACTCCAATTTGGAAAAATATTGGAGTGACATTTGAATAATATGAAATTTTTAGATTTCTTTTCTAACTTTTTTGGGAGGTTTTGCTTCTCTTGCACAGATGTCGCTTGCACTTCAGTTGCGTGGTTGCCAAACGTTATATCGAAATCGATCGAAATTATTTCATTTCATTATGAATATATAAAATTAAAGGTATACCAAATTAAAAATTATGTAATTTATAAACATAAAATAGATATGTTAAATTAATATATAAATATTTAACTTAATACGTTCATTATTATTTTATTAATTTATCGTCACACGTCATTTGCCAGTTGCCTAATTACGAAAAGTTTCATATGACATTAACCTTAAAAATGATCTTTAAAAACAAACAACAACAAACAGAGTGAAACAGTGCAACAAATGAACAAATAACTACATAATGACTGATAATGATAAGTGATTATTATTATCACTTTAATGATATGAAGGCTGATGAAGGTAATTATAAACATTATTTCGAGTTTGTTTAATAAAATATAGGATACAATATAACTAAGCAAAATCAAACAGTTTTAGACAACCAATACAAGATTTTAGAACTTGACATCGTGATAAACAAATTGTACATTCAGGAACTCGTTTAAATATTATAGGTAAGTAATATTTTCACAAAACTAACATTTTTAGCATAAAATCACAGGTAATATATAGAATATTACCTATGATAAAATGTTAAATACTGATGTATATTTATTCTAATCACATTTAAATTTTAACTCAAAATTTTCATAAAAAGAAAATTATAATTTTTCGTAAATATAAAGTAAATAATATTACATATTTCAGGTTGATTGACGAATACTCTACAGTTGATTAGAGCCCATGATGATGCGAAGATAATTAATATCACCTAACTTCAAGAAACCAACGTAAAGAAGTTTACATTCATAACTCATCTAACCATTATAGGTAATCATTTACAAAATTAGCCATTTTTGATTATAATATTAAGGTACTTAGGTACATTTTTATCTTCTAGATCAGTAATGTCGTCATAATTTAAATGAACTCACAGATAGCAATGGGGCACTGCACCGAAGCAGTATTACAAAATATGTGAAATAAAACTGTAATACAAATTGCTCTATAAAATTTAATAGAAATAAATTTATTTATGAAAATTAAGTTATGAAGTTTTATTTTTCCTAGGAAAAAAATAACATTTATATTTTGATCAATTTAGAACATTACAGTTAAAAAAATATGTGTTAGAATAACATATTTTTAATAAAATTGCAGCTTTTAATTTTTATACTTTTTTGCTTTTATATCAATAAGAACTAACGTAAGGAACAATTCATATTTATACTATGAAAACACATGCATATTTTTTGATGTTTTTAAAACCAGTGAATGATGTTGAAATATACTACACCTATTATTCTTATTAACTAACTTTAATTACAAACTTACACATTATTGTCATTGGAAATAAATTAATTTGGATATTCTATTTGTTTAGAAACTTTTTTACCTATTGTAGTTTTTTTAAAACCTACTTGATTTAAAACAAAAAAATGTCACCTGTTGTGACAAAATAAGGTCTTTTTTACTAGAAAACAATCTAGTGAGCTTTTCTAATAATACTTTATTTGATATACCATATGATCGAAAAAACGGCGTCAGCGATGGCTATGAAATGAAGATCGCTGTCATTTTAAATGTAAATTTATATGGGAAATGTCATCGATTGCCATTTCCCAGCCAACTGGACGCCGTTTTTTTTTGATCATACGGTATAATATGTATTCCCATCTGTTAATCTTTTTATTTTAAGGAAGATTTAGGAAGGGTAGCTTAAAACATGTTTGTCGATCAATTATCTTTATATGTCGTTTGTAAAAATATTTTACAGTAGTAGAAAATAAAACTGTTTTTAAGGCGAACAGCTTCTTTGCTAAAATATTTTTTTGGTCCCAATACATAATGATTTACATTTTATTTTTAACTTCAAATAATGAATTTAATGGAAAAATTGCAAGTCATAAAAACGTTCTAAATATACAAATCTAACCATTTTTTCCATACCGTTGCTCCAGTTTTTTGTCAAATTAACGAATATTAGAAATAGTTTATTTCAACCTCTTCAGCTTATTTTAAAAATGTTGACAAATAACAAAGAATACACCCCTTAAAGTTTCGCATTTGTCTTGATATACTCTGTTAAGACAACAGTAAATAACTTGTAATATAACTTCGAAATATAAATTTGAAATTAAAATAATGATTTGTTATAGTGATTTACGTTTTATTAATTTTGATTTTTTTTTCTTAAATTTAATTTAAAAGTGATTTACGTTATTTATTAATTGAAACGTTTAAAATTTGAATATACGTTCAAATTTTTTTTTTACAATAAATTTGTTTATGATAAATAATTTTATAATAAAAATATGACCGAATTTCCTGGAAAGTTTGCCAAATTTGTACATATGAAAACCTAGCTTTACCACTTATCACAGAAAATCTCTATTCCTTCCCTTATCACAGAATAATACAGGAACGAACCATATGCGACAAGGATAGAATATTTAGATATGTCGTTACTGTTTTTTGTTTTTAATGGATATTTTAAAAGCCGGGTAATATATGGTAATCTGTGATGGTAATATACTATATACCTTTGACTGTCTTTGATTACAACTGTGTGATTAGTGATAATTATTATTAAAATATCTGGTAATAAGTGTCAATTTTACAATTGTAGATTTCTCGGAAATCAGGTGTACATGTGTTTAAGTTTCATGCGTCAAGAGATCCTAATTTATGTACAAAGTGGATAGAAAATTGTGAGTTCATTCATATAGAATTTTTTTGCACATTTTGTATGTAAAAATACGGCGTTAAGTTACCTTAGAAATGGTGATCGATGGCTTTTACCATATACCGTATGATCGAAAAAAAAACGGCGTCAGCGATGGCTATGAAATGAAGATCGCTGTCATTTGATATGTAAAATTATATGGGGAATGTCATCGATCGTCATTTCCAAACCAATCGGACGCCGTTTTTTTTTCGATCGTAGGGTATAATTTAACACATTAAGAGTTGTCCATCGTTATATTTCTATATCTATGCAAAGTTTACGATGGATAAATCAAGTAATATTAAGTGGATACAAATTATAAATGAATCAGTGAATATAAACTGTTATAAATTATAAGTAGGTAATGCAGTTAGTGAATATACCGTACGATAGAAAAAAAAGGCATGGGAGTGGGCTTGGAAATGAAGATCGCTGTCGTTTAATAGGTATGTAAAATTATATGATAAATCTTATCGATTGTCACTTCCAAATCAACATGACATGCATCTGTACATCATTAATCTCACGACTAGAGTTTCCTGAAATCCCGAACTCCCAGGATCCCGGCGGCGTGTATGTTTATCTCCGAAATCCCGATATTAAATTCCGGGATCCCGAAAATCCCATAAAATTTAAATGTCCAATCTAAAATGATTCGACTTTATACACCTTTCAAAGATCAACAAAACAAAGTAAAATTCATATTTAGTAAGTAAAAAAATGCAGTTTCAGACAATAGTTTGGTTTGGTTTGGTCGAGTTTTGTTAACACTGTCTAGTCTGGGCTTTTTTATTTGATATATGTTAATCAAATAAAAAAGCCCAGACTAGATAAAATTTAGTAGCTAACTAAGAGAATCATATCAATTCTCTCTGATGTAGGATAAGTTTCTATTTTCGGAAAATTTCTTAGATTTTTTTTTGTTTCAACTGACGAACTGACACAAAATGATAACTAGTTGCTAAAGTTGAACTAATTTGACAGTTATGTTGAAGTAACGTCAGACATATCACAGCCACCCTAGATTTTATCAAATAATAAAGATCTATTCACACTAAATCATAGAAATGAAAATATCTAGGAAAATCTTTGTTTGAGGGGTAGGCCGGCAACCTTAATAGTATTTGGAAGTGACATGAATTTCCCATTGAATATCGGAATAATATTCTGGGTGATTCAATTAAACTAAAGGAGTTATACAGGGTGGGTATTAAAGGAGTTATACAGGTTATACCAATGTTCAGCATTAATTTTGCCCCACCCTGTATAACTTTATGGGTCAGGTTTTAATTTGATTTAAAGTGCAATAGAGTAAATTCCAATTTAGGTAGTTTTTCTTGAAATTTAAAAATTGTTCTTCAAAATCTTAAGTAAGTCTAAAACCTTACATTTCAGTCATATACTTCCCTAATAAAACACACCTTTATTTTTCTCTTAGAATCTAAAAATTAATTAATAAAGGGGGTATTCCCTTACAAAAAAATACAAATTTGATGTGTAACTTTTTTTGGGGACACCCTGTAGAACTCTCTATATTTTTAAAACGTACGCAGAATTAACTTACATATGATCACAAAATTTCATTTCAATACGAATTGGTCGTTCTCCTTGGAGCCTCCGAGTCATATGAGAGGCGCCACCCTGTATAATTTTTATATAGTTGCACTTTAATAAATTGTTAGTTAAAACTAACAGTCCTACGAGTGTGGAATTTTGTACAGGTGGATTTTGGACATTCATCTCTTAAGAGAGTGAAATAAGGGATGAAAATTTGTACAAACATTTGTTAAAATCGGGTTTAGAAGTATGAAATTCTGTTTGTTCCTTATGTAACGTAATTTAGTAATAACAAGCAATTTTTTTTCAGAACGTCCACACCTCATTTCACCCCGTTAGAGGGCGAATTTCCAAAAATTGTTCCTGAGTGCTAAATTACGTTACATAAGGAACGTCTGCGCAAATTTCATACTTCCAAAACCGATTTTAATGAATTTTTGTACAAATTTTCATCCCTTAATTCTTATGGGGCGAATGCCTAAAATTCGCTTCTGAGTACTCACTTTCATCACTTGAGGAACCTCTGTGCAAATTTTCATACTTCTAGGACAGATTTTTTTCAGAAAGTTCACCCCTCATTTCACCCCCTTAGAGGGAAAATTTCGAAAAATTGCTTCTTAGTGCTAAATTACCTTATATAAGGAACGTCTGCGAACAATTTTATACTTCTAAAACCGATTTTAACAAATTTTTGTACATATTTTCATCCCTTATTTCTTAAGGGATGAATGCCCAAAATTCGCTTCTGAGTATAACTTTCATCACTTGATGAACCTCTGTGCAAATTTTCATACTTCTAGGACAGATTTTTTTTCAGAACGTTCACCCTTCATTTCACCCCCTTAGAGGGAAAATTTCCTAAAATTGCCTCTTAGTGCTAAATTAAGTTACATAAGGAACGTCTACGCAGAATTTCATACTTCTAAAACCGATTTTGACAAATTTTTATACCAATTTTCATCCCTTATTTCTTAGGGGATGAATGTCCAAAATTCGTTTCTGAGTACTCACTTTCGTCGCTTAATTAACAATTTCCAAATTTCAAACTCCTCGGACTAATTTTAAAAAAGTATACAAAATTTCACCCCCAGTTTCACCCCTTAGTAGAAGAATTTCCTAAAATCGCTTTGTATAATCGAACTGTTAAGTTACGCTACTTAAGGCACCTCTGTGCAAAATTTCGTAGTCCTAGGACATGCTTTTTTTTGTATACAAAAGTACCCCCCATATCACCCCCTTAACGAGCGAATTTCCAAAAATTGCCCCTTAGTGTTCAATTACGTCAGTCAAGGAGCACTCGTGAAAAATTTCATACTCTTAAACCAGATTTTAACAAATTTTTATGCAGCTTTTCATCCCTAATTTCACCCCCTTAGCGGTCGAATTTTCAAAAAATCCCTTCTTAGTGCTCATTTACATCACTTAAGGAACCTATGTGCCAAATTTTATTTATTACTATATAGATAACCTTTACCCTTATTTTCAGCTAATGAATATTAAGAGACAAATAATAAAAATAAAACTAAATTATAAATTTCATGGCTATAAATAGCATATATGCATCTAGAAATTCTGACTTTCAAACATCCACTGCGACTAGTATTTTCATATCAATTGTCTAGTATTAAAGTCCGAATATACATTTTCCCTGGGTTTGACCGGGAATTTGCTTATAAATGTGAACAACCGGCTACGTCGCTTCACATCGCGTGGCCGTGGTGTGGCTCCAAATTCGTTCGTTTTAAAAATATTATTAGATTTGGCTATAGGCGCCCTCTGTGTCATTAATAGGGAACTGTCTCATCGAAAACATGCTGTTCCGTAAGCAATGGCCATCTGGATTATATGTTATCTGTGATAACATGTAAAAATAGAACTGTGAAATGTTTAACATGGTATATATGATATAATTTTCTTTTTCTCGTGAATGAATGTCCTAGTTTAAGATATTCCTGACAAGCAAATGCAGAAAAACTGTCCAAATTGTAGTAAGTTTACTAACAGGTCATTGCTAGCTTCATAGACTTGGAACACCATCAAAAAGAAAATGCCACTACTCCAACTCCCAGTGGATTTGTTCCTGGCATTTG